GCGGCTGTTTTGTTCCTTCATTTTTTGCTTTTTTGTTATACTCCACAGATGAATAAAATCATTTGGCACTTGTCTTTCTCTGCCTGGTTTATTTCACTGAGCATAATACCCTTTAGCTCCATTCATGTTGTTGCAAATGGTAGGATTTGTTTTCTTCTTATGGCTGAATAATATTCCATTGTGTATATGTACCACATCTTCTTTATCCATTCATCTACTGATGGACACTTAGGTTGTTTCCATTTCTAGGATATTTTAAATAGTACTGTGATAAACATAGGGGTGCATCTGTCTTTTTCAAACTGGAGTGCTACATTCTTAGGGTAAATTCCTAGTAGTAGAATTCCTGGGTCAAATGGTATTTCTATTTTGAGCTTTTTGAGGAACCTCCATATTGCTTTTCACAAATGTTGAACTAATTTACATCCCCACCAGCAGTGTAGGAGGGTTCCCCTTTCTTCTCATCCTTGCCAACATTTGTTGTTGTTTGTCTTTTGGATGGTGGCGATCCTTACTGGTGTGAGGTGATATCTTATTGTGGTTTTAATTTGCATTTCTCTGATGACTAGCAATGGGGAGCATCTTATCATGTGTCTGTTGGTCATCTGAATTTCTTCTTTGGAGAACTGTCTGTTCAGCTTTTCTGCCCATCTTTTAATTGGATTATTTGCTTTTTGTTTGTTGAGGTGCGTGAGCTCTTTATATATTTTGGATGTCAACCCTTTATTGGATCTGTCATTTATGAATATATTCCCCCATACTGTAGGGTACCTTTTTGTTCTATTGATGGTGTCCTTTGCTGTACAGAAGCTTTTCATCTTGATATAGTCCCACTTGTTCATTTTTGCTTTTGTTTCCCTTGCCCTGGGAGATATGTTCATGAAGAAGTCACTCACGTTTATGTCCAGGAGATTTTTGCCTATGTTTTTTTCTAAGAGTTTTATGGTTTCATGGTTTACATTCAGGTCTTTGATCCATTTTGGATTTATTTTTGTGTATGGGGTTAGGCAATGATCCAGTTTAATTCTCTTACATGTAGGTGTCCAGTTTTGCTGGCACCAACTGTTGAAGAGGCTGTCATTTCCCCATTGCATGTCCATGGCTCCTTTATTACATATTAATTGATCATATATGTTTGGGTTAATGTCTGGAGTCTCCATTCTGTTCCACTGGTCTGTGTTTCTGTTCTTGTGCCAGTACCAAATTGTCTTGTTTACTGTGGCTTTGTAGTAGAGCTTGAAGTTGGGGAGCAGGATCCCCCACACTTTATTCTTCTTTCTCAGTATTGCTTTGGCTATTTGGGTTCTTAGGTGGTTCCATATGAATTTTTGAACTATTAGTTCCAGTTTGTTGAAGAATGCTGTTGGTAATTTGATAGGGATTGCATCAAATCTGTAGATTGCTTTGGGCAGGATGGCCATTTTGACAATATTAATTATTCCTAGCTAAGAGCATGGGATGAGTTTCCATTTGTTACTGTCCTCTTTAATTTCTCTTAAGGGTGTCTTTTAGTTTTCAGGGTATAGGTTTTTTACTTCCTTGGTTAGGCCTCCTTCATATTTAAATGATAATCTTTCTAGATAAAGTATTCTTTGTTTGAGGCCCTTCTCCTTCATTGCATTAAATACGTCATGCCACTCCCTTATGACCTGTAAAGTTTTTGCTGAGAAGTCTGATGTTAGCCTGATGGGCTTTCCTTTGTATGTGATCTTATTTCTCTCTCTGGCTGCTTTTAACAGTCTGTCCTTATCCTTGATTTTGCCATTTTGATTACTATATGTCTTGTTGGTGTCTTCCTTGGGTCCCTTGTATTGGGAGATCTGTGGATCTCCATGACCTGAGGTACTATCTCCTTCCCAGATACGGAAATTTTTCAGCAATTACCTCCTCAGAGACACTTTCTATCCTTTTTTCTCTCTCTTCTTCTTCTGGTACCCCTATAATGTGAATATTTTTTCCATTTGGATTGGTCACACAGTTCTCTCAATATTCTTTCATTCTTAGAGATCCTTTTTTCTCTCTGTGCCTCAACTTCTTTGTATTCCTCTTCTCTAGTTTTTATTTCATGTATTGTCTCCTCCACTGTTTCCAACGTGCTTTTAATACCCTCCATTGTGCTCTTCAATGATAGGATCTCTGATCGGAATTCATTCCTGAGTTCTTGAATGTCTTTCCATACCTCCATGAGCATGTTAATAATTTTTATTTTGAACTCCCTTTCAGGAAGAGTCATGAGGTCCATGTCATCTTTCTCAGGAGTTATGTTAATTTTACTCTGAACCAGGTTCCTTTGGTGTTTCATATTTGTATATAGAGCCCTCTAGTGTCCAGAAGCTCTAGTCTCTGGAGCTGCTCAGCCCCTGACACAATGTCGGGGTTGCAGGGGAGTGGTATTGGTGCCTGGGGAGAGGAAAGAGCTGTTTTCTGCTTCCCAGCCACTATGACTGTCTCCACTGCCTGAACCAGGGGGCCAAGCACACAGGTACAAGCCTCTTTGCTTTGTGTTTGTAATTGATGTGGATAGATCTTCCCTCTGGCTGGCCTAAAGCCAGAGTAGGGTTTTCTGGTTTGTAAGCCAGGTGGTGCTTGCCGGGAGGAAGGCACAGTAGGCTGCCTATCATGGAAGGGGTCCTTAGAGCTGTGTAGCCAGCCAGGGATTTGGAGCACCTGGAAATCATGAAAGCTCCTAACCTGCTGGGCAGAGTGCACCTGGACAATTTTGTCTACCTGTCCTTTCTCCTGAGCAGTAAGCTCTGTGCAATCCTTGCCTCTTTAGCAGCCCTCTTGCTAAGGACCTCCTTCTTAGGAAGTCTCTCAGACTGCCTGCCTTTCTTTCATCCCAGAGCAGCCAGATATGGTTCCCTGTTTTCCACAAGCGGCTGGAATCTCAGTCTCTAGGAATTCTACCTGTCTTAGGTTTCCAATCCCCTAATCATGAGAGCATCATGAAAGCATCATGAAACATAGGTTTGTGCTCCCAGAGGAGATCTCCAGAGTTAGGTATTCAGCAGTCCCAGGCCTCCACTCCCTCCCTGCTCTTCCTCCCGCTGGTGAGCTGTGGTGGGTGAAGGGCTTGGGTCCCACTGGGCCACAGCTTTGATACTTTACCCTGCTCCCTGAGGTCTGCTCTTTTCTTCAGGTCTTTGCAGTCTACTGCAGTCCTCTTCCCTGTTGCTCTTTCAGGATTAGTTGTTTTAGTTATATTTTCATATTATATGCGATTTTAGGAGGAAGCCTCTGTCTCACCTCTTACACCTCCATCTTTAATCCTTCCCTAAGACCCACTCTTAATCCCATCACCTTGGGGTTAGGATTTCAAACTATGAGTCTTGTGGGGGGACACAAATATTCAGACCATAGTACAAGGGAAATTGGATATTTTGAGAGCAGTTCTCTGACAAAGAGAGGAAGGTTTTTGTTGTTAGGAATGCTTCTGGCATGAAATGGGAAAGGGATCCAAGGGCATATGGGCAAAGTATATACTGACAGTGTTCACTACAAGGCTACGTATATTTTGGTCTCTCCCCTCATTATGTGATCTATCTTCTCCAGGTTGAAACCAGAAAACTCCCATTTCCAGATTCCTTGCAGCATGTGACCTGGGCTTCACTAATCAGCTCTATCCACGTGTGACTGCAGGTGAGGAGGCAGCAAGCGGGGACACTGATTTTCTACTCTGGACGTGGCATTCAGTACTTTGGATTCAGCAGGGTAGAGCTTCTGGTGTCCATTCCTGAGGGTCATTGACACTGATTGGCAGTGGCCGTGGTGTTTTTCGCAGTGGTCTTCATGGTGTGGTTGTGCCTTGCTTCTGGCTGCCTAGTTTCAGAGCCTGCTCTCAGATCTCCAAGTGACCCATGGATCACCCAATATCCTTTAACAAATTCCTGCACGAGCTAGGTAGAGCTGAGGTTGTGGCTTGAAGTTAAGAAACTGAATGGTATAGGTGATACGGTGCCAGACTTGAGTAACAGTAAGCTGCTCAGATTTTATAAATGCATTTTATTTCAGCTGAGGAATAGTGCAAAGCTCTTAAAAATCAGTTCCTCGTATGTTATGTGTAAGTGGAAAAAGCTACCCTAAACTATTCAGGTGACCTCACCTGATACATAACATATTCTTATCCTCTATTTGAAAGCAGAATATAAACAATGCTCAGTAATTCCATATCCATCCTGACCATGCAGGAAGCAGATTGGAGGTGTGAGTACTCTGGAATTCTCAGAGAGATACTGGGCTTCACACTACAACCACAAAGCTATAAAGGGAAGTGTTGAGCAGTTTTAAGGCTTGAGTTTGTAGTGGTTAGGGACTCTAATTAATGTGTAATCTTTTTAGCAGACATTAAATGTGGGCAGTTAAAAATGAAAACCACTAATTATCATCTTCAGAAATGATTAGGATAATGCAAATGAGATGGGGAGAAATAGTTCAGATTTCTCAATCAGCAGATACGAATTTTACATGGGATCTTGAAATTTCATTGTAAGTATGCCCCAAGGTTTTCAGAAATTCATCCTTTCATTCATCCACCCAGTAGTCAGAAAGGAAATATTTATTGAGGGCCTACTATGTGCCAGTACCAGTTATATTCCTGAGTGGAGAAAAATACATTGTTAACTTTCTTCTCAAACTAATTAGAAACTCAACTGCTAGCATTGCACTTTGGGGAAAAGTAAAAAGAAGAATCTTGTTGGAAGACAATTGTTTATAGGTCTTGTGTGTTTCTTCATGTCTTCTGAGCAGAGGCACTGACAACTTTTGTTCTAGAGAATATTTTTTCTCAAGGATGTTGATACAGTAAACAGCTTGGAAGACAGAGCTGGTATCTTCCTCTGCCCCAGAGGGAGGATTTGTTTGCTTATCAGGATGATAAAGACAATGTGCCTCCCTGCCCCTAGGACAAAGGTTAGGCAGGTTTAGCCTCTTTAAGAGATTGGAGTTTCCTAAACTCTCAGTTGTATTCCTAGTATCTCCCTGGGCTACCATGCATCACACCCATGGAACTTAGGGGTGGGGCTGGTGGGTGAACATGAGGTTCATATTGCCTACATGAATAACAAAGTCCTGGCCCAGGAGTCTTATGCCTTCTGCCAGCTCCCAGGAAACTGTGGCAGGCTAATTGTGAGCTTGCAAGCCTGGTAAACTCTTACTTAGTCCTTCATAGTTCTTGACACATCTTCTCACACAAAAAAGATACTTATCATTTAATTAGATAAAAATCACTTATTCATGATACAGTGTTGCTAAGGGTATGGGAAAACAGGGATCCTTGCACTATTGGTAGAATTATAAGTTCATATAACCTCTTTCGAGGACAATTTGGCAGTATCTATCAAAATTTAAATGTACATGATCTAGGAATTTAATATATAGATAAATTACACAAATGAAGATATAATATAGGGATATCAGTTACAGCAAAAATTATTAGCAAAAGACTGTAATATGTGCTAATAATAGTAATGAAAACTATTTTCATTTTCAATGTCAGTTGCAGACATTAATACACTTCTGATAAGTACTTATTTAGCTTTTATAAGGTATAAAGTGCTCATTTAAGTAACTTCATGTGTAATGATTGATTCTGTCCTCACAACAGCTCTATGAGATTGTACTGTAATTACCCCTAATTTACTCATAAGGAAACTGAGGCACAAAAAGGTTAAGTAACTTGCCCAGTGTTACACAGCTAGTGAGGTTATCCCTAATAAATAATGGCATATTCACTTAACAGAATACTACGCACTTAAGTGAGGTAGGTCTACTTATAGTTAATGAAAAAACAAAAGTCAGGGTAGTGTGTTCTTTTACACTTCTTTTTGTGTGAAAAAATATTGATTTATGTGTACACAGAACATGTTTGGAAGGATAAAAGGAAAGAAGTGACAGAGAAAGTCAAAGGTGAAGGAGTGTTTATATCATTATACTTTTTAAAGCATACTGATTGTGTGTTTTTTTCCCTAACACTTAAAAATAAACAATTCCAAACATACAGCAAGGTTGAAAGAATTTTATAATGAACACCCACATACCCACGACTTAGATTCTGCTTTTAACATTATACTGTGTTTGCTCTGTCACATGCCTTTTCATCTACCCATTTGTTCCACTATGTTTTTGATGCATTTCAAAGTCGGTTGCAGACATTAATACACTTCTGATAAGTACTTCAGCATGTATATTATTAACTATTAACTAAAGTTTAATATCTGTTTACAGGTTCTTTTCTTTTTTTTATTTTGGTATCATTAATATACAATTACATGAGCAACATTATGGTTACTAGACTCCCCCTATTATCAAGTTCCCACCACATACCTGATTACAGTCACTGTCCATCAACATAGTAAGATGCTATAGAATCACTACTTGTTTTCTCTGTGTTATACTGCCTTCCCTGTGCCCCCCTACATTATGTGTCCTAATGGTAATGCCCCCTTTCCCTCCATTCCCCTCTTCCCCCCATCCTCCCCAGTCCCTTTCCCTTTGGTAACTGTTAGTCCATTCTTGGGTTTTGTGAGTCTGCTGTGGTTTTGTTCCTTCAGTTTTTGCTTTGTTGTTATAGTCCACAGATGAGTGAAATCATTTGGCACTTGTCTTTCTCTGTCTCGCTTATTTCACTGAGCATAATACCCTCTAGCTCCATCCATATTGTTGCAAATGGTAGGATTTGTTTTCTTCTTATGGCTGAATAATATTGCATTGTGTATATGTACCACATCTTCTTTATCCATTCATCTACTGATGGACACTTAGGTTGCTTCCATTTCTTGGCTATTGTAAATAGTGCTGCAATAAACATAGGGGTGCATTTGTCTTTTTCAAACTGGGCTGCTGCATTCTTAGGGTAAATTCCTAGGAGTGGAATTTCTGGGTCAAATGGTATTTCTATTTTGAGTTTTTTGAGGAACCTCCATACTGCTTTCCACAATGGTTGAACTAATTTACATTCCCACCAGCAGTGTAGGAGGGTTCCCCTTTCTCCACATCCTCGCCAACATTTGTTGTTGTTTGTCTTTTGGATGGTGGCCAGGTTCTTTTCTTTTTATATAAAATTTGTGTACCTATTTCAAGTATACATTTGCTGAGTTTTGACAAATATGGCTACTTTTGTTACCCCAACCCATATCAAGACATGGAACATTACCATCACTCCACAAAGTTCCTTCATGTCCTTCTCAGTCAAGCTCCACCCCCACTCAGAGGAAACAACTAGCTTTATTCTTCCACTCTCAAGTAGATTTGCCCATTTTAGAACTTCCTATCAATGCAATCCTAGGCTTCTTTCACTCAGCCTAATGTTTTTGAGATTCATCCGTATTGTTGCATATTATTAGTAGCTTGTTATTTTTCTATTGCTTTGTTTTGTTACTTTTGTTCAGTGTATAAAATACCACCCTTTATCTGTTCTCTTGTTAATGGATACCTGGATTGTTCCAGTTTTGGGGGTTTATGAATAAAGCTGCTATGAACATTCTTGTACAAGAATGTTTTGTGTAAACAGTTTTTTTTTTCTCAGATAAATATCCAGGAGTGGAATTGCCAAGTTACTGAGTTGATGTATGTGTGGGTTTACAAAAACATGCCAAATCTTGTTTCAAAGTACTTGTATTATTTTCCTGGTCTACGAACAATATATGAGACTTCTGATTGTTCCACATCCTTACCACATTTGGTGGTACCAATCTTATTAGTTTTAAGGCATTCTGATAGGTGTATAGTGTAGCTCATTTAATTTGCTGAGCACTTTTTCATTTGCTTCTTGGCCATTTCTTTCAAGAAGTGTCTGAGTATTTCACCTGAGTTTTGATTAGGTGATCTGTGTTTTTAAACTGAATCATAAGAGTTCTTTATATTCTGCACATACCATTCCTTTGTCAGCAAATGTTTTGCAATATTTTCTTCCAGTAAAAAAGATAAAACTTAAAATCTCCACAGTCCCCATACTAACACCTAGGTATTTGCAAAGTATTTTAATAAAACTTAAAAATATAGTTGAGTTTAAATTAGAGAGTCATTCACATGATCTCAGTTTTGATGCACTGCATGATTGCTAATCCTAAGAGACCTTCCCCCACTGTGTGATAAATTCTTTCTGGTCAGGGTCAGTATCTTAGCTATTTCTTTTCTTTCCCTTTGCCTGGCAAGGTACCTTAAGCCAACATTTACTGCGTGAATATTTTTTCTGGGTTGAAATCCAGTAACATTTTTATTATCTGAATATCAGGTATGGGTCTTTTGTCCTTAGTCACAGTTTCAATGTAGAGTGAAGATATCAGTACTTAGTTATTGTTGATTTGTTGATATTTCCTTTTGAGTGGTTGTCAGTAAGGAGTGAAAGACAGGTGCCATGCATTCAAAGAAGATTATTTCAGAGGAGACCTCTTCCTTCTTTGAGCATCTAAAACTCCCTGGGACACTTTGAACTCTGCTTTGTGTAGGATCTGTGTGTACTCTGGTTTCCCACCACACTCTAAGAACTTTGAGGGCAAAAGTATGTCCCACTTGTGTGTCCATCTTTCCCTGAAACTGAGCATCAGGATGCCTTGCATATAACAGAAGCAATGAACACTTGTTGAATAGATACAAGAGGTAAAAAAAAAAAAAAAAAAATCAAAGCCCAAGCACACAGTATG